CAAATTAGTATCATTCCTCTTCCCATAGAGTATAGAGTTCCTATGTTAATTGTATCAATATTATCAATATTTACCTTTAAAAAAAAACACCATGGGGGTGGGGGTGCACACCTTTAATCCCAGCACTCGGGAGGCAGAAGCAGATGGATCTCCAGGAGTTCGAGGCTAGCCTGGTCTATAGAGCTAGTTCCAGGACAGCTAGGGCTGTTACACAGAGAAACCCTGTCTCAAAAACCCAAAAACATAAAATAAAATAAATCACCCTTTGACCAACACAGAACTTAAAACAAAATAGGGGCCTTTAATCTCAAAAATTGTTTCCATCTGAATTAGCTACAGTTTTTTTTTTTTTTTTTTTTTGGGGGGTTTGGTTTTATAAAGCTGGTAAGACCATATACAAAACACAATAGCCCACACAAACAAACAAAAAACAATAGGACATAGGGCTACTGAAACCTTCAGACAGAACTAGTTCTACTAGTAACCCCTGGCATCCTCCAGCCCTCCTAGGATAAAAAGCAAATATTTTCTTGGGGACATTTCCTCAAATTCCAGTGTACATATGTATTAGACATATCATTAGTTGGTCTAAATCAAAGGAGAAGGCAGGAAATGTTTAATAATATTAGGAAAATAGCCTCAGATAGAGAGACCCAGGGGAAGCTAAATTACATAGATGATTTGATGATTTTCCATGAATGTGTAAGTCAGCAAAAGTGGACCCAGACAGTAGTAGTAAAGCCTAAATACTGATGGCCTAGAACAATTTGTAATAGTTAACAATGCTATATGCTAAAAGAGTTCCATACTTAGCAGTTTTACATGTTAATTCTACAAATTTTAAAGAAACAATTTTGAAAGTATTTTAAATTGAGCCAGGTCTGGTGGCAGAGACCTGCCCAGCACTTGGAGGCTGAGGCAAGAGGACCAAGAATTCAAGGTCATCCTTGGTTATACAGATAACAAGCCTGGGCTACTTAAAACTCTGCCACAAAGTAGCTTAAACAGACTTACATAAAGGAAGAGAGATTCAGACCTCCACCCCGATGTTGCTCAGGCTGACCCCAAAACTCCTGGGCTCAAGCACCTTCCTCTGCCTCAACCCCATGGCTGGCCAGACAAAACTTTTAAACAAGCTACAGACAATGCTGAAACAACTGATAGAGACAACAACAGAAGGAGAAGGAGGAGAAGGAGAAGAGAGAAAGCTTGTGAGGGCTGGAGAGATGGTTCAGTGTTTTCAGTGTTAAAGCACGTACAAATCTTTCAGAGGATCCGATCAGTTCTCAATAGCATGTCAACATGTCAGGTTGCTCACAACTGCCTATAACTCCAGCTACCAAGGACCCCACACCTCTGACCTGGGAAACCTGAAGTCATGTGCCCATTCATGTACATAAAAATACAATAAAATTAAAAAAAAAAAAAAACTGTTTGCTATCCCAATACTGCAAAAAATTTATAAGTAAATTATAGATAAGCCTTATAAATAACAATGCAATTTCTAAATAAAATATCAATACACCTCTATATAATAATACTTATCCCCAAAATGGAATGATTCTATAATAAAAAAAATCACCTGTAATATTAAAGAGAAAAGCACTATGAACCTGCCACAAATGCTAAATGCTAAAATGTCACTTTAAAAATCCAGCTCATTTTTTTATTTAAAAAAAAAATCATCAGCACACACCCCTTACTAAAATAACTAGCATGATGATTAATGACAAAAAAACTCAAAAAGCATTATCAGTAAAGTCATGAAAGTGCCTAGTATCAGCCACATTACTTGGCTGTCAGAGTCATGAACTAGTCACTGGTACCCAGTGTTACCCATTCTGCTTGGCTCTCAGTAAAGCCATGTCCAGAATCATCAACAGTACTTGGCTTTCTGTCTGCAAATACCATAAATCAGAAAAGACAAAGGAACAAGTGACATTAAAAACTGGAAGACAAGAAACAAAATTCTCACTACTTGCAGCTGCCATGACAGAATACTCAGAAAATCAAATAGAATCAATTGTAAAAACTATGAGAAATAATGTTATTAGTTATAACTAACACAATAAGAATACATGCTATAATAAAGGATCCTGTTTTCAACAACAACAAAAAAAAACAAATAATTAGGATAAAAATGCATGACTCATCCGATAGTACAGGCAATTGCCATTTGAGCATGGAGAACTGAGTTTGACCCTAGATCTCACATAAAGATAGAAAGGAAAACAAATACCATGAAATTTTTTTCTGATCTTTACATGGAACATGTACTTCCACAAACATAGCACAAATACACACAAAATAATAAATATATAAAAAGAATGTATTGAATTTTTCTAAAGGAAATACATAGGCAGGGAGCAAAAAAAAAAAAAAACAGAATTTTAAGATAAAACAATCAGTAAGACATTTCTGAGAATTTAGGAAATTTGAGTGCAGACTGGATGTTTTACATAGTTGATATATGGTACTATCACTACTACATTGTTTCAAATTAATTGTTTGTTCAAGTTATCCTAAAGTACTTAAAATTTGCAAGCTGGGTGGTGAAGGCACATGGCAGGCAGATTTCTGAGTTAGAGGCCAGCCTGGTCTACAGAGCTAGTTCTAGCATGGCCAGGGCTACACAGAAAAACCCTATCTTGAAAAGTCAATCAATCAATCAATTGATAAAATGTGTTTTAAAATATTCTAACCCCCCACCCTAAAAAAAAAAAAAAATGCAGTGAAGAGGGATGATTCAATACTGTTGAACAGTGAAAGCTTGAAAGTGTGTGGTAGATACATAGTGGACCATTATATGTTTACTTCACTTTCATGTATCTGAAAGTATCCAAGGAACAGAGTTTAAAAAAACAGGCAAGGTCAAAAATGTGGTAATTACACATGGTCTTGGGAGCAGGCAACTTACAGTGATGGAGGTCATAATTGGTATTAATTCTTCAGTGCATACTTTGGCTTTATCTGTCAGCTATAAACACACCCTTTGGACCAGCAATTCCACTTCTAGGAATTTATTTCACAGATACTCATTTATTCAATGAGCATTTTTTTTTTTTTTTTTTTTGCCCCCTACCATTTGGCAGGCACTGGAATACAGAGGTGGAGAAAGCAACCTGCTCTTATTGCATTTCCCTTCTTGCTGGGGAGGAGACAGGTAAAATAATTCAACAAGTATGCATGCAATTATAACAATTACAACATCAGGTAAGTGATGATGTAAACAGTGCAGGGCTGGGCTGAGTGAAGCACCAGAATGTCTTCTAAAGGCAACCAGAAAGAAAGCTATGGAGCAATACTCTATCCTGGCCTTCCTTTGTTATGCTTTATTCCCCTGAAGCCTCTGTTCATTCAGAGAATGTGGGCACCATTTGAATGCTTCTTTGTCCCACAATATTAATCAAGTCCTTTTAATACAAGGAAGGTGTCAGGGCAGTATTCCCACACCCTGAACATTACAGTGCAGAGCAATTTGACTTTTTTCAAAGAAAGAACTTCTAAATTATCTAAGTTATATGCAAAGTATATAAATAAAAAAATGTATTTGAACTATCAAGGGTTTTTAATGCAGGCAAACTTTCCTTAAGAAAAAGTAAAGAGTATATTAGTTTTACAAAAGATTAATCATGTGCTAATTTTTAATTACATGTAGTACATTTATTTTGTATGCATATATGTGAGGTGGACTGCATGGAGGACAAATGCCAACTTTCAGGAGACAGTTCTCTGCTTCCACCATTAAGTCCCAAGGATGGAACTCAGGTCATTAGGGCTGAGGGCAGGAGCCTTCACCAGATAGGCAATCTCACCCACCCCTTGCTACTTAATTTTATCCACATACAAAACAAAAACAACCAGTTCTGACCCTTCTGCAAGACTGAGAATCACTGACTTAAGAGATCTCTATAGTTTATGTTCATAATCTTTTATCAGAGAGCCACAAGCTCTGATTTGCTTCCTATTTAGGTAAATGTTTTACATATACATAAGGAATGTTCAATTGATGTAAAAAGAAATGACTGCTACAATTCCTGTTTTGGGAATATTGCAAAGAAACGTCTCTGATCATGAACTATCAAGACTTCAAGACTGGCAAGGAAAGATAATAATCTACAAATTGGCAAATTGTCGGTTTAGAAACCATCAGAGAGAAAGAAACCTATCCCTATGAAATATGCTATTTCAATTTTGAAATCAGTTTTACATAACTGTACTCTTCTCCATCCCAAAGGGAGGATGCAAAACTAACTAATCGACCAACCCCAGAAGACTTCAGGACTTACAAAGTAATTCTCAATAACCAGATTTCAAGTGCCTGGAGCCAGCTGCACAGCCAACCACCGGTTCCCTCCAACAGCTGAGGATCCTTTCCCCTAGACACTACAAACCGTTTAACCCCACGAAAGAGGGTCGGCGAACGCTGCTCTGAAATAGTTACCCAGGATGAACTACCAAAGAGAAAGACCAAGCACCCCAAAATGTTCCAGACAGAAGAGAGCTGCTACTGAGTTCCGTTTGAGGTCAAGGCAAAGCAAGTCAAGCGGCTAACAGCACTTGGAGGGGCTGCAGTCCAGCCTGCGTGGCCCTCTTCTTACACAGGGCCTTTCTAACTCCTCGGAGACTCTTCCCGGGCCAGTCAGGATTACTGGAGCCCTGACTACTACTGACCTGGTCGCTAAGTATCCCTGCGGGCTAACCAGATAAGGGTCTACATGCCAGAATGTTGGGTGGGTTAGTGAGAAGCCCGTAGGGTAGGGGTTGAACCCAGGCAAGCGAAGGTGGAAGGAACGCTCCAGAGGCAAGCGCTTGTTGGAAAGAATGGGGTTGGACGGTCCCTGCGGGCCAGACGAGGGGAGGCAGTCTGAAGAAGGGTCGAAGAGGACGCCGGGAGGATGGGATGCTGTGATGCTCCCACAGCAGATCACTGGAGGTGGGGGATCGGGAATACCTGCCCGCCAGGTGAGGGGCCCATGAGTACCCGCGCCGCGTCTCACCTGCCCAGCGCCCGCTTCATGCCCGCGTCCGCTCCGCTGCGCGGCTCTGCCGGCCCCTTGCCCGCCAGACGCAGGTTCTGCTTCAAGCGGCAGTCGGCGTCCAGCGCCGCGGCGGCCGAGCCGGAGGAGGACGAGCCTGAGGCGGCGCAGCTCTCATGCTCCAAGGTGACGGGCTCGGTCCGCTTCCTCATCCCGCGGCCCTGTCGGCCCGCAGTCCTCAGCGCCCTGGCTTCGCCCGCCTGCCCGCCTGCGCCGTCCTGGCCGCAGTAGCCGCCGCTCACTGCCGTCAGCGCCGGGAGCCGGGAGCCCACTGCCCGTCACATCCCAGCCCCAGGCCGCGGCGTCCACTATGGACCAGCGCCGGAGGCCGGTCGGCCACCGCGGCCAATCAGCGCAAGGCTCCAGACAGCTCCGCCCCTAAGTCACGCCCCCATCACCTCCTCTCCGATTCCGCGGGCAGCACGCCCAGCATCCCCAGCGCCAACAACAGCCATCTTGGAGAAGGGCAGGAGAAGCTGAAGCTGCGGATCATTGTCAGGGCAGGGCTGACGTGAAGTCTCACCGCATTTACGCTGTGGATTAGGGTGGGTTTGGGTTCTCAGGCTAAGTGGCTCCAGGTGTCAGCTGTCCTCTGCAAACCGACTCAGGCATGTCCCATCTCAGTGGTCCAATGGTGAGGACGCAGGGAATGCAACAGCCATAAGGGGTTCCTTGAGGGCGCTTGCTCCACTTGCAGAGCCAAATAGGTGCCCTCCACTCCCTCTCTGGGACCTTTGGCTCCCCTAATATGCGAGAACCTCCAGATATTCTTAAGGTTTATTATATTCAACAAAAAGCTTTAACTTAGATGGTGGGGGGGGGGAAGCACGCTCTCCTGTAGCTAACGTATCATTTAAAACACGTTTGTATTTACTTAGCTCTTTGGTTGACTGTAAGAAAATCAACTGCCTATATATGCTTTGAAATCTCTTATTAAAATTTGGATCTTCACAAAACGATTAGAAATGGTGGAGGCCAGGAAGTCCGTTTCAAAGAAGGATTTGTACTAATGACACCCGAAATTAAGTAATAATTCAATGGGGGGGGATGGAAAGGGCGCATTCATGAATGTAGCTTTTTAAAGTTTTTTGCTTTGTTCGATATGGTAGCATTAGTTACACTAATGACCTACAATGGAGAGATACATAGTTGCCTACTTATTTCAAAGTTACTTTTGAAAACAATTGGCAACTAATAAATAGAATTTAGAAATGTAAGGGGTTATGTTGTTGGCTTTGTAATGTTATTTTGAAGTTGCCCAAGAATTTCTTTGACTTTTTGCTATGTCACAATCTATGTTCATACCATGTGAATATATATAGTCTTTAAAGCAACATCAAAAACAGTGCTATAGATTTGAAGATTCAAAAAGCAAATAAAATGCTTAAAAATTGTTTTCTACCTATCACCTTAAAAATCTTTATAGAAAAACAAAAGAGCAGGTAGACCTGGTAGGACCTGCCTGAAGTTATTATAAAGGCTGATATCAGGGGGTTGCAGGTTGCAGGTCAACCAGGCAATTTAGTGGACCCTGGGTCAAAATAACAGAAATAAAAAGAGCTGGATATAACTCAGTGGTAACACTTGCTTAGTGTACCTGAGGATCAGGGTTCCATTATCCAGGGCTGGGGGGGAAGGGAGGCACTGGAAGGAGGAGACAGAAAAGGAGATAGGGAGTGGCTAGACTTTGTCCTTATGATCCTCATCTCTTGGTCTCCTAATGTTTAAACACACTACCACACTGGGTAAGCCCACACTGTATCTCTGAGTCATACCCTTCCTGGAACTAAGGCTCTTTTTTCAAAGGTCTACTTCTTGCTGACTTCTAATAGGCACCCAATTCTCCTTCTACTTCATCTTTACCTATAGTCTTTCCTTCCTGAGGAATGAGAACTCCATCCTTGGTTTTTCCTTGCTTACATCATACCACAACAGTCATCAAGTTTTGTATCAGCCCTCTATTCAAAATCCAGTATCTAACCACTTCCATCTTCTCTACCAATCCCCACCCTGGACCAAGCAGGGTGGATTATTTTAGGTTATATACAAAAGGCTCTACAGTAGCCTGCCTGACAGAGCTCCAGCCCCATGCTCAAGCACCAACCTCTCCCAGGATCACTGCCTCCCTGCTGGTCCTTCACTATGTCCCTTAGTCCCTCCCTGAGACCTTGCATTTTGATTCTTGTTACCCCAAAACTTTACCTCCTAAAGCCCATATCAACAAAGTTACTCCTCTCCCCTTTAAGAACTGTGTTTGCTGAACACTAACACAGAACCCTCAGACTCTCTCAACTTTGCTGTGCTGACCTTCCTTGGTTTATTTGTTAGTGCTTATTGCCAAAACACCTGACATTGATATATCTTTATCTGTATTGATGTTTTCCACACTGCAAGATAGACTCCAAGAAGGGACCTTGTTTACTGCATTATCTTCAGTATCTGGACCAATACTTGGCTCATAGTACACACTTCATAAATATTTGCTGAAGGGGGAAGATTGAATCATCAAGACTGCTCACAGGTATACCACTGTTCTCATTTAAAAAGAAATCTAAAGGTCAATAAAAGACTTGCCTCCTGGCTAAAACTGAAATATGCATGTCTGAGAAGGGTTGAAGCTACTAGCCTGTGACTCACAATCCTACAGCAGTATAACTAGGTGTTTAATAAACATTAACCTAAGTATCCCTAATAGAGAAAAAAAGACATCCCTATTTATTTAGCTATCTATCTACCTATCTATCTATTGTTTTCTGATACAGGCTCTCACATTAAAGTCCAGGTTGGCCTGGAACTCTCTGGAATGCTCTTACTTCAGCATCTGGAATGATAGAATTACAGGCATGAGCCACAACACCTGGACAAGTAGTTGCTTTTTAAAGTGGTGAGGTATTCCCATACCCATTTTGCAGATAATGTATGTCCTTGTTAAAGCAAGAGCTGTAGCCTCACAGATAAGTCTACACTCCCAGCCATCTCTCTCCCTCCCTCCAGGATCAGTTATAGGAATAAGACAGGCCCATGCTGTGATTCTGAAGTCACAAAAGGTAGGATCTTGCCTCCTTCCCCAGCTGACCCAGAAACAGAGACAAACGGACTCCAAGCAGCTAGCATGTATTATGGGCTGCTGTTCATTCATGCCTACTACCTCCTGACTTTGGACCACATCCCTTTGAAACTTTTTTTGTTTTTGTTTTTTGGTTTTTCAAGACAGGGTTTCTCTGTGGTTTTAGAGGCTGTCCTGGAACTAGCTCTTGTAGACCAGGCTGGTCTTGAACTCCGAGATCCACCTGCCTCTGCCTCCCCAGTGCTGGGATCAAAGGTGTGTGCCACCACTGCCCAGCCCCTTTGAAACTTGCTATTTAGTTTGGTGGAATTGAAGTGTCTGTCTTCAGGACCTTAGCATATACTTGTATGTGGCATTAAGTACCAAATCTTCACCTGAAGGACAGTTTGTCTCAGCACTTCTCTCTGAACCACCTCTCTCAACACTGTCCAGTTACCCTAGCAGTCTTGTTATCTACTTTTGCAAAAGAACAAAACAAAAACCCACTATTGTTTTCTAGAAGCTAATATTGCTTTTTCAAAACGCAGCTAAATAGTGAGGCAAGGTGGCACACACCTTTAATTCTAGCACCCAGGAGACAGAGGCAGGTGGTTCTCTGTGAGTTTAAGGTAGACATGGTCTACATAGTGAGACACTTTCTCAAAACAGAAATGCTAAATAAAACAAGTGGTTTTTATCTTGGATTGTGTAAGGTTAGGAAATTTCCCATAATCATGCAGTTGAATGTTGTGTTTTTGACAGTTTGACACAAACCTAATCATACCTAGGAAGAGGTAATCTTGAAGAATTGCCTCCACCAGATTGGTCAATCTGTGGAGCATTTTCTTTATTTATTGATTTCAGATGGCCCAGATGCCTGAGGGGAGTATCACCCTAGGCTGTTGGTTCTGGGTACAGCAAAGTGAGAGTTCACTATAAAAAGCCAATGAGCAGCCTTCTTTCAAGTACCCTGCTTGAGTTACTGCCCTGAATTTCCTTCCTGGTGGACTACAACTGTATACCAAAACTAACCCTTTTCTTCCCCATGGTGTTTCGTTTCATCACAACAGAAGGCAAGTCAAATCAAGGCTACACACACACACACACACACACACACACACACACACACACTCTTTTTCATTTTTAAATGGGCTCCTTCAGAACAGTGGTGGCACACACCTTTAATTGCCTTTAATCTTGGCACTTCGGAGGCAGACACAGGCGTGTTCAAGAGCAGCCTGGTCTACAGAGCAAGTTCCAGGACAGCCAGGGCTATTACACAGAGAAACTCTGTCCTAGAAAAACAAACAAACAAACAAAAATAAATAAATAAATAAGATGGGCTCCTTTAGAATTCCTGAACTGAAGCAATGGGCCTTCCTCAGCCACAGAAGGGCTGGGATTGCAGGCATAGGACAACAGTATTATGCCCAACTTTGAATTGCTGTTATCTGTGACATTTTCCAGTTTTCATTTTTGTTTGTTTGTTTATTTGTTTGTTTTTCGAGACAGAGTTTCTCTGTGGCTTTGGAGGCTATCCTGGAACTAGCCCTTGTAGATCAGGCTGGTCTGGAACTCACAGAGGTCAGCCTCCAGAGTACTACTGGATTAAAGGTGTGCACCACCAACGCCCAGCTCAAATATTTTTTAAATAACTACTTTAAAAATCAAAAAGTGTCAGAGGTGAAGTGCAAAGTTTAGAAAATAGGTTTTAATTATTTTATGAGCTGTGCGACCGTCATTAAATGAACTGTTCTGGCTTCCTTATCAGTTCTGGATACTAATAGCCCTTAGGGAGAATTGTGAGAATGGACTGAAATATACATCATAGTCCCTACCATACAGGAAGTACCCAATAAAAGATGGTTTCTCTTTAATGTCAAACAACTGGCACTGAAAACTAAAACAAAACATTGTGTCATAACTGGTTTCTTGACTTTTCCTCTTAACCTAAAGGTGTTCCTTGGAACATAAAAGATAATTAATTCAAATGGAAAAAATAAAAACGGAAGAATGTGTACTTTACTGCATGATCGAAATAGCTCATAGAGGTTCAGCTTATAGTCTCAGACGCAACTGACTTCCCCAGCTTCGCCAGGGAAGAAATCAATGAGGTCAAATGTCCCTTCTGGGCCACCTTAGGACCTCCACCCCCTACCCGATAGCGCACTTCTATTGGTTGAGCCAATTTGGCGCCAAAGCGAGGAGGAGAGGCTGATCGCTGTGGGGCAATAGAAGTGCCTTAGGCGAGAGCTAAGCGACCGTTTGGCGTGACTTGGCAGTTGACGGGACCGCG